GCCAGATTCGATTCGATGTCGATGCCTGCATGGCGTTGTTGTACGTCCTGGCGCAGCCGATCCGATTCGATTTCGATTCCGTGCAGATGCAGCCTGATCCGATGAACATTTCGATTCTATCCGATACGACTCACACATTCGACGCTGGCTGGTCCTGCGTCTTGTGCAGGGGGAGAAGAGAAGGAGGAGGAGGTGGAGGAGGAGGAGGAGGAGGCAGGAAGAAGAGGCAGGAGGAGGAGGAGGAGGCGGAGTCAGGAGAAGGAGGAGGAGGACGACGAGGAGAAGGAGGAGGAGGAGGAGGATGCGGAGGAGGCAGGAGGAGGAGGCAGGAGGATGAGGAGGAGCAGGATGAGGAGGAGTGGGAGGAGGCGGAGGAGACGGAGGAAGCAGGAGGAGGAGGAGGAGGAGGAGGAGGAGGCAGGAGGAGGAGGAGGAGGAGGAGGAGAAGCAGGCAGGAGGCAGGAGAATGATGAAGGCAAGAGGAAAGGGAGGAGGCAGGAGGATTGAGCTGGAGGAGATCCTCTGGCAAGCCACAAAAAGGTTGTCAATGTGGGGTCTTGCCGTCGGAGTCCTTCGGGCTCCCTGTCGGAGGCCCCCTGGCCGAAGAGCCTTCCCGGATGCTCCCGGGCCCTCTGGGAAGCCCCCCCCGCCTGCTCAGGATCGGCGCGATCGAAATGGGTAAGGTCGGACCGAGGTATAACATCGAGGTCGGCTCGGGGAGGGTACCTTAGTGTTCTCCGTGTTTGTTAGATGTTCTTGTGCATCCTGTGGGGGGTACCTTCGAAGGTTCCTTCAGTTTGGGCAGGCGGAGGGTCTCATTTTCTTGAAGGATGTTATTCTGTCCTAGGCCTGGCCGTACGGAAAGAAGGGGCGAAGACACCGACAGCATGTCCTGCTTCTCTGGACAGGACTTGCTGTCGATGTCGCCGCGGACGTTGTCCGTTTGAGACAGAAGGCCGCTGGCCCAACAGCGGCCGCTGTCGGTTTCGGACAACATTTGCTGCTGGGCAGCTAGTTTAGATTTTACAGTAATAGGGTGGTGATCTGATTTGGGGTGGTTTGGTTTGAGCTGTCTTGGAGGGATCCAGTGGGGTCTGGGCAAATGGCCGCCCTCTCATGGCTTGTCTGGGGGGTCTAACACTGCTCGCCTGGGAGGGTTCTGACCCTCTCCCATTGATTACGACATTTGGAGTGCCCTTTTTATCCGTACATAACCAGTTCGGGCGTCCAGGCAGGAGAACCGCACCTCTTCGCCCCACCCCCAGCTATGCGGCCGCTAGTGGGGAGGCGTCGGGGCGTGCCTTCTCAGGCACGGCCCCTTTCGGTATCGATTCGATTCGATTCCGATGTCCTCGGCGCTGGCCGAAGCGTCCCGATGCTCGCACGGCGCTGCTGTGCATCCTGGCCCCGCCCACCCGATCCGACCGGCCCTGAGCCGATGCGGCCCGATCTGGTGCCACTTCGATCAGACGCGATCTATCGATGCGGTGCTTCGGATGCAACTCCTGGGAGGTCAAATTCTGATTTTGCCCTGGTCCGAAATCCGGCTTAATCCGGCTTAATCCCGCTTAATCCGGCCTAATGCGGCTTAATCCCGCTTAGTTCGGCTTAGTCCTGCTTAGTCCGAGGCCCACTCTGGCGTAACAGCTCCCAAATGGGGCTTAATCTTCTTTAATCTTTCCGACGAACACCTCCCAGTAGTTGCCTCCTAACGGTGCTGACCGCTCGTGCCAGGTCGTCGCTGGCGTGCAGCCACCCCCCGATCTTCGGCTCCTCCTCGGACTCGGTGTGGGCGGACGTCCAGTAGGCCGCGCTCCCGCGGCGAGTCCACGTGCTGAGATCTGAGGGGCGTTCGGGAGATCTGAGGCGAAGGAGGAGGAGGAGGAGGAGGAGGAGGAGGAGGAGGAGGAGGAGGAGGAGGGAGGAGGAGGAGGAGGGAGGAGGGAGGAGGAGGAGGGAGGATGGAGTGGATAGGTGGGAGGAGGAGGGCGCGAGTGAGGGAGGAAGGAAGGAGGGATGAGGCGAAGGAGGGGGAGATCGGAAGCAGAGCCATGGGCGTGGGCGTTCGGGAGAGTAGGTGGTCGGGCGGGTGCTGCATTGGGTAGAGAGGTGGGTAGTTAGTAGGTACCCGTCGGTCGTTGAAAGTCTGTTTTTGTTATTCCAGATTCCATTCCACGTTCGGCCTCGAGGGGCACCTTGGTGAGCCAGGGACACCTTCGGCGATATTGGGGCAGGTGCGCACGCAGCAATGCGGGTGGAAATGCTCGGCAGGTCCATGCCGTGCCGACGCAGCGGCGTCTCTCCAGCGCGGGCGTTCAATGCTGAACACCGCCGGTGGCCCAGAACAGGACGATATAGAACGGTCGGCGCCATCATGGAGCCGCGGCCGCTCAGGGTTGAACGATCTGCTCGGATATAGACAGGACCTCGGTTAAGGGGAGCAGGTTAGTGATAGGGCCCCGAAGCCCCAAGAATGAATTGGAATCTCTATGCCAGGTCT